CAAAGGCCGATGGTATTCATTGTGTGTTTATACATAATTCCACACCACAGCCCTATTCAGGTAATTGTTTTGCTTTGTTTTTGTAGCGTCGATTATATCCACACATTTCGCACTGTTGAAAGCGTTTCGAACGTCTAAGGTCGCCAACAGAACTCTTCATTTGTGTTTGTGATATCTACGGTGTATGATTTCTACTCTTTCATTGGCGCTTCTGATAGCTCCTAAAGTAGAGCTGCCGGGTATGAAACCATGCTGCCTAGAGAAAAGTCCATTAGTTTGATTGATAGACGCTACCAATCTAGGTTTAAGTAGCTTATAGCTGCATACGGACTGAACGATCAAACCCAAGTCTTTGCTTGGAAACTTTTGCATCTGACGAGACATCTTCAAGAAAATTGGCCTACCGAAACATTCCAATTCTCTAACAATTTGTTTAGATCGTATTACTGTCATATTTTCTTAATTTTAGAATTATATTTTAATTTCATAATTTTCATAGTTTTAATCAATTATTTTAGCAAAAGGTAAAATAATTTTATTAAAAATGTTTAAAAGTTTTTTATTACAAAAAAAAAAAAATATTACAAAATTCTTTATAATAAAAATAGTAAATATTTGGATTATTATCTTTATTTTTTTATTTAAAAAATTTTCTGAAAAAAAATTATGAAAAAATTTTAGTTTATAGAATTTTTTATATTTTTTAATTCTTGATACTTTTTATTTTGGTAAAATAATTTTATTAAAAATTTATTTAAATTAAATAATTCAAGAAACAGATTAAACGTTATTCACAAATATATAATATAAAAAAGTTCTCGAATTCATATTTTTAACTTTTCTTAATTAAATTTAATAACTTTTTTTTAAATTTTTTTAATTAAAAAATGTAATTTATAAAATAAAAAAATTAAAATTCATGAACTTATACATATTGAAACAGTATTAATTTTTTTTATTTAATTTTTCTTAATTAAATTTGATATTTATTTTTTTATTTTAATACTTAAATTAAAAAAATGTAATTTATAAAATACCAAAATTAAAATTCAAGAATTTATACATTTTTAAGCAAGTATAATTTTTTTAACCATTCTTAATTAGATTTTATAAAAAAATTATTTTATTAAGTTTTCTTAATTACATTTTATAAAAAAAAAATTTGAAATTTATGAAATTAATTTTATATGAACTTATATCAAGCAGTTATTTTTTCTAACTTTTGTTTAAAAAAAAAAATTATTTTTTAATTTTTCCTAATTAAATTTTATTAAAAAAATTGTAATTTATAAAATATTAAAATTAAAATACATGATCTTTTTTGTGTTTTATATTATTCACATTATTATTTGTTTTAATAAAATGAAAAAGTAAATTTTGTTTGCTAAAGAAAATTATTTAAATTTTTTAACATTTTTTTGTTATTTTTAAGTACAAATATTTCTTTACTTTTAATTTAAATTTTTTTTCTGCTGTCTTAATTTTTTTTATAAAAATTTTTTTGTTATAATTGTTTGCCTACTTGAGCTCACTTTGTAGGCGGTGCGTTGGGAAACAACCCAATGACATATCACCCAATTAATTGCCGCACAACAGCACATTAAAACAAATTTGTCTTAATGTCACAGAAAAATGTTGGCAAAAGCGTAAACGCATACATTGGCAACACACCCATACTTCGGTGCACACACGCAAAGTCACATATAAATTCACCAGCAAAATGCGCATAAAGACCGCAACCGTCTCAGGTATTGTGGAAATTTTCGGCGAAAATTAATTAAAAAGTCTTCATTAGTAATGAAGGAAAATTAACGCTGCAGAATACAGCACAAAAACAGCAAAAACGAAGCATGCTACACACTACAGCCGACAATCACAGTCGAGTAATAATAATCAGCGTTAATAACTACAGCCGCCTTTCAGTTAAACGCCAGCTTGCGGCAAACAAAAACAACGCAGCTGCTTGAAAACAGCCGCTGCCAACTGAAAACAAAACAAAAACAATGCCATTTGTAATGAAAATAGCGTAGAAAACGAGAAAAAAGTTGCCTGAAAGACTTAAGCCACAAACTCGCGCAAGCGCCCAAGTAAACCGCATGCGGCCGGCATGTAAATGATTGCATTGTATAAGTTAGCCCACAAACGATAACAGCAACACAATTGAAGAGGATGTAGACGCGCTTACATGTGTGTATGTGTGTGTGGTAGCAGCAAAACGGCAAATAATAATAGAGGTATACACACATATACTTCAGCGAAGAAAAATATTCAAATAAAGCAAGAGAGAAATTGTTAACTTCGATTGCACCGCACACAGGTGTATTTTATGAAGCATAAAAGGGTATAAAAAGATCGTTTTCTTAATTTTGAACGTTCAACTTGTGTGGCAACTATATGTTATAGTGATCCGATCTGAGAAAATTCTTTGATTCCGATCTGAAAAATTTTGTTGGTGATTATGGCACTGATTTGGACAATATTTTACCATATTTCTTGAAGATAACTTGCCAAATGAAAAAGTTTTCCATACAAGGCATTCATTTTGAATGTTCAGTTTGTATGGCAGCTATATGCTATAGTGATTCGATCTGACCACATTTTTCAGATATTACATTACTGCCTTAGACAATACTCCACGTCAAATTTCTTGAAGATGACTTGTCAAAGGAAAAAGTTTTCCATACAAGGCATTCATTTTGAATGTTCAGTTTGTATGGCAGCTATATTCTATAGTGATCCCATCTGAAAAAGTTCTTTGTAAATTATAGCGCCGATTTGGACAGTACTCCATGCCAAATTTCTTGAAGATAACTTGTCAAAGGAAAAAGTTTTCTATACAAGGCATTTATTTTAATTGTATGGCAGCTATGTGCAGACGAACAGACGGACCGACAAACAGACGAAACGACCGACGAATAGACGGACAGACATGGCTAAACCGGCACAGCTCATCAACGCGAATCATGTGTATATTCTGTACGTTATAGACTCCCTTGCAAACTTTAAACACCCTGTTCAGGGTATAAAAATGTTAAACTTCAGTTCACGCGTCTGTGTATGTACGCTTGTGTGTGTGCACGACTTTTAATAATATTATAAGCGCTATTTAACGATATTTCTTTCTTTTTGTGCGCCACCGCACCAAATGAAATTTGTTTAGAGGGCGCCTACTTGAATTAATCATGAGTTAGCGACTGAGGTAATAGCGGTTTTGCATTTTTGTTTATGTTACATCCCATTTTACTCTATTTTACACAAACGTAAAGTGCTTGCGATTACGGCTAATACACAGCATGCGTCTAATGTTAAAAAGTGTGTGTTGCAAGTGAGTTTTTCTGGTGGATTTGCTTTAATGCCTAAACTTAAGCCCAGCCGCTGTCCATTGTTGCTGCTGTAGCGTTAGAAAACATACAAAAAATTTAGAGGAATGCTGCTGAAAGTGACTATGACGGGATACAGATTTTGCTTCATTTCGGCTAAGTAGATGCGACGATTGTGGTTACGCAGGTTGTTTCCGAAGCCGGCTATGGAATGAGTTCTCACTATTTGATCTCCCCGTCTCTTTTTGTGTTTGCCATCTCCCGAGTTCTCGTTTCGGAACAACCCTCACTTGATTTGACTTGAAACAGCTTCCAGGAGCTTCCATAGCCATATACATATTTAAGATCTATAGAGATGAGTACTTTAATTAAATGGTCTTCTAAAACTCTTCACTTAGATATCGTTCGTTCTTATAATTAACTTTTCTAAACTCAACCGCAACTTAGACGGATTTTGAGGCACAATTGAGTATCCTACTAACTAAACATCACTTTGGTGTGGAAATAAAGGCTTTTAAATTACTTGGAAAGATATTGCAATAATCAGGAAGTCTGAAGCTGGAGTTGATACAGAGCTCCTGAGAGTAAAGAAGTTCACTGCTTCGATATTTGGCTTTCATGAAAGCTTCCTATCCAGGTTGAGCCCTAGATATTTCACTGTATCCGATGGTTCCAGACGGACGTCTTCCATTTGCCGTAGCAGTGCCACCGGAATCTTATATCTTCTAGTAAATAAAATCTCGGTTTTACTTGAATTGATGGCAAGACCACTTTCGATTGCCCAATTTGGTACGAGATGAGATTCTCGGCGTCGACTTCTTCACGGTATTCAGGAACTTTCCTTTGACCATAAGTTGTACATCGTCTGCATAGACAATCCCCTGGCAGTCACAAGTTTTTTAAGCAGGCCATTAACGACCAAGTTCGATAGAAGAGGAGAGAGAACTCCACTTTTGGGGTTCCCACACATTTCGTTGAGCGCCTCATTAAGTTTCAATCACTGTCGAACGGTAGACTGAAAATAAGGTGTTAGACGTTTGATTCAACCCTAAGACCGTCCAGAGCAGTTACGACTGCTTGCGACAGGACGTTATTGAAAGCTCCCTCAATATCAAGCCCAAATGGCTTCCTCACAATAGTATGCCGGGCTGTATCCACTGGCTTGCCTTTACAATAAGCATGTTGTGCTCCTGATAAATAGTCCCTCAGAATGCGCCTGCTTTTGTTTCCGCTGTTGGACTTCACTGTCCTCAAAATTTAATAGTTTTTCAACTATGTTCCAGCAATTCTCTACGATTATAATGAGCTGTCGATGAAAATTATTTCTTAGACTCTTTTCAAGTTTTGCGAATCAGTGAATCGTTGTGTTCTAGACCTCCTTAGAACAAAACAAAAAGTTGCTAGCACTAATTATAAAAATCTTATTTTTATTAATTCAAATTGTGCACAAATAACTGTAAATATTATGTGGTTATGTGCGGTGAATTTCCTTTAAAACTATAAGATTTAGTTGTAAAGTTGCAGAAGTACTACACTAGATATGGACGTCGCCTATTTTGTGACGCTTTGCTACCGTCACCGCTCGCAGCGAAATAATTTTCTGCGCGCATAAATATTCTCACTATCTTCATCGTCTTCTTCTTCCACCTGTTATTTTGCTGCTCCGCATCCTTTAGCGCTTTACGCCGCCTTGAAGAGCGCGTAGCCACTATTCGGTGCCATATAAATGTAACGGCCATAGCGCGCTTGCTGCGTCACAGCAGCTTGATAGTTCTGCTGCTTTGTACCGCTTGCGGAATGCTCATAAATCGGTTTCTCCACTTGTTGTTGTGGATATGTTGGATTAGCTTGTGTGTGGTGTAGCGTGCGTGCGGTGGAAGACGCGCGTGCATCGCGTTCATGCATATAACCGAGGAATTGTGATGGATGAAACGGCGCCTGAAAATTTAGCGGCAGCGGCGAAGAGGCAGGTAGCGGTGGCGGCGGCAGCAAGTGTGGCATACGTGGCAATGGTGGTAGGGCAGGTGGCGTGTAAGCAAGCGACGTTTGTTGCTGCGCTGGTAGTTGCTGCTGTTGCGTCAGTTGCGTTGACTCTGCTGTAATTGTTGGCGTTGCTGTTGGTTGTGTTGGCGGCAGTGCTGCTTGTGGCGCGTATTGCTGATAGAGCGCTGGCGGTGGCAACGGCGCCGGTAATTGATTGTATGCCTGTATTTGTTGTTGTTGCTGCGGAAGACGTTGCGCATAGATGCTTTGCTGCGGCTGCACTTCAGCATTCGGATGGTAAAGCACGCTCAATGGTACAAAATAAGTGGAACTGGTGCTGTACGAGCGACCGCTGTTGCGCGCCGCCAAGGCAGCTGGCGTTTCAGCAGGAAAGGCATGCGGCGCAGTACGACTCAGCGCCAGTTGTGCGCCTGTTGCGAATGCATGTGGAAAATAAATGTGCGAAAATGTTTGGGGTGCTTCGAAACGCGCACCCAAACCAAGGTTTGCTGGTGTTTGTTGCTGCTGTGTTTGCGTCGCATTCGGCGTGCTGAGCTCTGCAGCGTCCGTTGTGTTGTCAGTCTCAGCGCCGACTTCGTGTGGTTGCTGTGCATTGTAGCCGGGGTCATAGAGCAGCGGTGGTGTTTGCAGCAAGTTGTTGGCTAGCTGATTGCCGTGTGTTTGGTAGCTCGGCGACGGAAAGTTGCCGCCATACTGCAGTTGGCGTTTGCTGACTTTGGTGGCGTGCGTAATGGTGGATTCGCCGTAGCAAAGCAAACAGCGCCACAGCACTAGAAGAATCATTAGTTGCATTGTCATTGTCATTAATGTTTAAGCCTTTCTTCGACGATGGTTTTAAGTAGTACCACCCTTTTAAATAGCAGTGTTATGTTGGTCAACTGTAAAGTTGAAATTGTAGAGGTTATGTTTATCGAACTTTTTCATTGTAATATCACTAAAAATCACAGTGCTTATAGTCTTTGAGCCGTCCCTATTGTATGACAACAGAATTTGCCGGCAGAAATATGATCTGCCGAAAATATGATAAGCCGTAAGACAGTAACTCGGCCGTTATTAGGAAAGAACCTGTAGATTTTGGGAGATCTTGCTGTGAGTAAATAGTGTTTATTGCTATAACGAAGTTCTCTTACCAAAAACTATCTTCTTCGAACTTCTGAAAAAAAAAATGCTTTTATTAAAAAAGATGAATTAATTTGCCAAAAGAGTGATCAAGCTGTAGATCCTGAAGCTTTCGATTCGTAAAAAGAGATATACTTGATGTTGTTTTTATGATTTCGGTTATCTTAAAAATGATCTTCGATTATTTAGACGAGTTTCGAAGCAAAGAAAATGCGAAAAATCACAAGATCTAGAAAATTCCCTTTTTATATCAGTAGAAGCAACACGAATCTGTAACCAGCTAAAGTCTTCTATCTCGGCAACAATTCGTAAACCAACTTTTGATTAACTCCACGTCTCACAACTCCGAATAGATTTTGAAGATTAGCTCATATTTCAACTTCAAGCTGCAAATCCCAGCACGAAAGACTTCGATATCGTACAAAAATTCAGATCGGAAGCTCAGGCAGTAAAGTTCTTACGCAATAAAACTCGGTTTTCATTTTTTATGCACTGTATTCCTTTTTGAGTATCCATGACTCACCTTAGATGCTGTGAATTGATATCCTTCCAAGTCGTATTATCAGTAAAATTTACTTCGCAACCGCTCGTTGTGCTCAACATGCGTTGACTATACCTCTCCTCGTTGGCGCAGTCTGTTTTTATTGCAAAATGTCGCACTTCATATTAATAAGTAAATGTTTTGAAGGAAACCGTAACGAAAATAAAAGACAAAAAGTGGCTGCAATGCATCTCCCTTAAAAGCTGATATATTTCAACTACGTCTGCTTGACGACTACAGACCACCAGCCGACTTTGGCATCGCTTACGGTTCCGGAGGAAGTGTAATTCTAAACGCCGACAGTGAAAGTTATGTGACATAACATAGAGCCCATCATGCACAAGTTGCTGCGCTGACGTTTCATGGTCATGGCTAAGTGATGCAATGGAATCCGATCTCAAGCAAAACTGACTATGCAATTACTCGTTCACATGTGCATAGAGTTTTTGCTTTGGCACTCATAATGGCAGCTAAACCCTGGTAGCTTATGCGTTGCATATTCATTGACTTGACTTTTCAACTATTTGAGGCGACTTTACGGCTAAAAAACTTTATGCTTTTACCAACTTGAATCTGAAAAATTTTTGGTCATTGAGTTTTGAGAGTTTTTCAGCCAAACGTCCGCAGGAAATTTGGAGATCTTCTGGATCAAATAAATTTGGTTGACTTCTGGATCTTTCAAGCAGTTCGTCCTTTTCGCTTTTTGGCGCCAACAGAAGATTCCAAGTGTTTTCATCCATTCGGATGACAGCGTAGCCTCTTTCTCTTAATTCGCTGAAATATGTCACTGTTATTGTATAACTCGTACAGCTCATCCTTCCATCGAATGCGATATTCACCGTTGCCAAGTAGGAAAGGACCACAAATCTTTCTCGGAACGTTTCTTTCGAAAACTCGTAAAGTAAACTCATCAGATGTGATCATCGTCCATGTCTCTGCACCATATAGTAGGACGGGGATAATGAGTAACCGTTGGCAAAAGTTATTCTGCGTTGGATTTCGATGTTGACATTGTTGTTGGTGTTAATACTGTTAATAATATCCCAGATATACGAAATTATCGACGACTTCGAATGTCTCTTTTGGTATCAAACGGCTCGGAGAGGTTCTTCCCGATCCTGACGGGTCTTTTAATGCTGCTCAACGTCAACAGCCGGATACCAAATTGAGGCATCGCGTCACAAAAGCCGCTCCTTTTCGTGCTGTCAAAAGCAGCTTTGAAATCGACGAAGAGGTGGTATATGTCGATCTTCTTTTCACGGGTCTTTTCCAAGATTTAACGCATGGTGAATATCTGATCAGTTGTTGGCCTAAAGCTACGCTGACGCTCGTTAGAACCTTATATGCAATGTTGAGGAGGCTTATCCTACGGCGCAGATTGTGTGGTAACCCTTTTTGTAAATTGGGCAGAGCACTCTTAAAATCCAATCGTCAGGCATGCTTTCGTCCCAGCATATTCTACAAAGAAGCTGATGCATGCTCCTTATCAGTTCTTCGCCGCCGTGTTTGAATAGCTCGGCTGCCAATTCATCAGCCTCCTCCGCTTTGTTGTTCTTCAGACAGATAATTGCTATTCGAACTTTTTCTTGGTGGGTCAACGAAACCGGGAAATCGGGTTCGCCATCTGCTGGTGTTATGCCTTCACTGCCATTCAGCAGGCTGGAGAAGTGTTTCTTCTATAATTTCAGCTGGTTACTAGATCACCTCTGGGGGTTCTACAAGAGTATGCTCCGGCCTTAAAACCATCTGTTAGTCGCCGCATCTTTTCGTAGAATTTTCGAGCATTACCCCTGTCGAGCAGCTTGTCACAAGCTCTTTATATACCAAACTCTGAAGTTTTGTTTAGTTCGAACAAATGGCTGTTTTTATGATGAAAGAACTTTGGCTAATGAAATTTAGTCACCTGCGTAAGCGAAAAAAGCTTGAGACTGCTGCAAAGAGTGTGGTAAACAATTACTATATCTTATTATAGCTATATAGCGCTCCCAGTCAAAATACGGACTTTTACTTGTAAAAAAATAATATATTTTTTCTATAAAAGTATAAAAAATTATAACGGTACTTATAAATATATAATTCAACGAGAAGACACTATAAATGTGGAATCATCGCTTGCCTTTCATTGACCCGCTGGTCGCTGATAGTTGTAACCGCTTGCCTTATTATTTTCTAATGGTACACCATAGGTGCTATGAGGACGTCTGAAATGGGCCGAGTTAAAATTGAAGACCGCGTTGGAATTTGCTGTGGCCGTGGTGGCTTGTGAGGGTTGTGCGGCTTGCGTGGGCGGTGGTAAGCGCTGAAAGCTTTGTGCCAATGTGGCTGCTGGGTCTGCGGCTGCTGTGGTCAATGGTTCAACCTGTAATTGAGGGCGTGGCTCTGGCTGCGCTTTCGAGTAAAAATTTTGCTTTTCCGACTGTTGTTGTTGAAATTGCTGTTGTTGCTGCAGTTGCGCATATTCTTGCTGTGGGATCGGTTTTCTCAGTTCATGTGCTGCTTGCGCCAACGGCTTAGCAACACGGCTATACAATGTTTGTGGTTGTTGTATCAACTGTTGTTGCAATGGTTGTTGCTGCTGTTGCAACTGCAATGCCTCATTCTGCGGCCACTGTGGTATTTCCGCAAACCACTCAGCATTCGGTTGAGGCGCTTGAGCTTTTGTTGCTTCTGTTGATTGTTGGGCAAATGTTTGCGCAAATCTTTTATCACTTGCTAATTGCTGGCTTTGTTGTTGTGCTTTGGCCAATAACCCTTTCTGCTGCGCTGCTGCAACAGGGCGCTGCTCTTGAACCACGTACGCTTGCTGCGCTGGCGTGTGCCGTTGTTGTTGCGCAAACTGTTTGGCTGGCTCATAGAAATACGGTGCATTTGCCTGCTCTACATTATTCTGGTACAACTGCTCCGACGACAGCTGCGCAAGCTTTGCAGCATTACTTTGTGCATAGCTCTGGCTAGTGCTTTGGTCGTGATTGGAGCCCACTTCCTGATTTGGTGTCATCTCCATGGTGCTGTAAGTTGGCAGTTCGAACGATTGGGACGGCATTTCCATGTAGTACTCGACAGTGTTATCGCTGGAAATGAAACGCTCACCGCTCAGCAGTTCACCGTTGCTCAACGGACGTTTCTCGACCGAAGCTGGCTTTGATGCTGGCGCTGACGCTAACAGATTTGTGCTTTGCTGTGCGCCAGCCGTAATTGTTGACGCTGCTGTAGCTGGCGCATAAACTTGTGTAGCGAACGTAACAGGCGCAGCTTGTGGACGCGTTTGTATGGGGCCGCTGCTGGGCGCTGTTGCGGGTTCATATTGCCTGTGAGCGCTAGGAAAGCTTAATTGCTGGAGACTAGAATCGCCGTAAGCTTGTGCGGCGTGCGGTATTGTTTGGTGTTGCTGCTTTGCCTCCTTTTGCGTGTCGATTCGCGTTTGTTCCTGCTGCTTGCTTTGCGCTCTTTGCCATATCAAATAGTCAGCGAACTGCTGGAACGCTTGCTGATAAGAGGCTGGCGTGTCAGCTGTAAGTTCAGCGTCACTCAACGGCCGCGCATAGTTATAACCTCCCGTCAAAGCAGCAGCCTCGTCGCCTTGTGCCTTTGCGGCCTGCGGAGCTGGCGTCGACGTTTGCGTCACTTCGGCTGCACCTGTCACAATGCGCGGCACAAAGAAATTGGGTTGCGTCGCTTCAAAATGCTTACCACTGTTGATAACTTCCGCTTGTGGCACATAATAAGTGGGCGCGGCAGCCAAAAGTAATTGTTGTCCTACATCGGCATCGCCGCTGAGCGCTAAAGCTGACGTTTGATGACTCAGCTGGTAGTGGGGCGTGTGGAGGTAGAGCGGTTGTCGGTTGTAGCTTTCGGCCAACGGCTTGTTATAAATGTAACCAATAGCTGCAGGCTGTGTAGGCGCTGCTGTGGTTGGTGGCCCGACTGTCGTTGTGCTTGTTGTAGTTTCAACTGCTGTCGCTGCCGGCGCACTGTAGCGATAGCCGGTGAATGCTTGCTGCGCTGTTGCGGCTGGCCCACTGTAGTGATAACCAGGAAGTGTCAGTGAGTCCAGTCGTTGTTGTTGTTGTAAGGCTCCGACAACAGTTTCAGATTTCTGCTTAGGCGCTTCACCATTATAGAGCACAGCTAAAGCTGT